AAATCTGGAGACAACAGATGCTGGAGAGGATGTGGAGAAATAGGAACGCTTTTACCCTGTTGGTGGGAGTGTAAATTAGTTCAACCATTGTGGAAGACAGTGTGGCGATTCCTCAAGGATCTAGAAATAAAAATACCACTTGAACTAGCTATCCCATTACTGGGTATATACCCAAAGGATTATAAATCATCCTATTATAAAGACATGTGTACACGTATGTTCACTGTAGCACTGTTTACAATAGCAAAGAATTGAAACCAACCCAAATGCCCATCAATGATAGACTGGATAAAGAAAACGTGGCACATATACACCATGGAGTACTATGCAGCCATAAAAAAGGATGAGTTCAGGTCCTTTGCAGGGACATGAATGAAGCTGGAAACCATCATTCTCAGCAAACTGACTCTAGAACAGAAAATCAAACGCTGCATGTTCTCAATCTTAAGTGGGTGTTGAACAAAGAGAACACATGGACACAGGGAGGGGAACATCATACACTGGGGCCTATTGGGGGGTGGGGGGAGCTAGGGGAGGGATAGCAGGGGGTGGGGGGATTGGGGAGGGATATTTAGGAGAAATAGCTAATATAGGTGATAGCACAATGGATACAGCAAACCACTATGGCACGTGTATACCCATGTAACAATCCTGCACAACCTGCACATGTACTCCAGAACTTAAAGTATAATTTTAAAAAGTCTCTATTACTGATAATATTCCCTGTTCTGAAATCTACTTTGTATCATATTAATAAGTCACTTTTCCTTTTGATTCATGTTTACAGGGTGTATTTTTTCTGTCCTTTAACTTTTTTTTTTTTTTTTTTTTTTTTTGTGTGGGGGGGGCGGGGTTTTTCTCTTTTTACCCAGGCTGGAGTGCAATGGCGCGATCTCGGCTCACCGCAACCTCCGCCTCCTGGGTTCAGGCAATTCTCCTGTCTCAGCCTCCTGAGTAGCTGGGATTACAGGCACGCGCTACCATGCCCAGCTAATTTTTTGTATTTTTAGTAGAGACGGGGTTTCACCATGTTGACCAGGATGGTCTCGATCTCTTGACCTCGTGATCCACCCGCCTCGGCCTCCCAAAGTGCTGGGATTACAGGCTTGAGCCACCGCGCCCGGCCCTCCTTTAACTTTTGTAAACCTATGTCTTTACATTTAAAATGGCTCCTTGGCCAGGCGCAGTGGCTCCCAGCACCTTGGGGGGCTGAGGCAGGTGGACCACCTGAGGTCAGGAGTTCAAGACCAGCCTAGCCAACATGGTGAAGCCCAGCCTCTACTAAAAATAGAAAAATTAGCTGGGTATGGTGGTGGGCACCTGTAATCCCAGCTACTCAGGAGGCTGAGGCAGGAGAATCACCTGAACCAGGGAGGTAGAGGTTACAGAGAGCCAAGACCGCACCATTGCACTCCAAGCTGGATGACAAGAGCAAAATTCCATCTCAAAAATAAATAAAGAAAATGGTTTCTTACAGACCGCTTTTTTATCCAATCTGACAATCTCTGCCTCTTCTCACATGTATGTAATATACATAACATATACATATAAACCTATATTTAAAATATATACATTTTTAAAAACCAGACCATTTATTGCATGACTAATTGCTGAAATTCTTAAGATGAACTGGAGGATGCAACTGCTGCCCTCTTGGGTGTAGATGTTGTTCTTTCACAGAATCCATGCCTAAATCTGCTGTACTGGCTCATGAGGGCCACTGCATACCTTTCTTCTGCCTACCAGTTCCCCTTATCCAGAAATTTGCTGGCCTTCCCAAGGACAGCCAATCTCTGCCTTTTAATTGGATGTTTACCCTATACTGTTCAGTAAGACCACCACTAGCCAAATGTTACTACTGAGCACCTGAAATGTGACTAATCCAACTGGAGATGTGCTATAAGTATAAAATGCATGGCACATTTCAAAGAGAAAATAAAATATCTCGGTAGTATTTTGACTACATGTCAAAATGATATATTTTGGATATATTCAATTAAATAATATATATTATTTAATATATATTTTATATAAATATATTGTTTATATATAATATATAAAAATTATATATATATATTTTTTAAATTGAAACAGAGTCTTACCCTGTCACCCAGGCTGAGTGCAGTGGTGTGATCTCAGCTCACTGCAACCTCTGCCTCCCAGGTTCAAGTGATTCTTCTTCCTCAGCCTCTTGATTACAGGCACGCACTATAATGCCGGACTAATTTTTTTTGTATTTTTAGTAGAGTCAGGGTTTCACCATGTTGGCCAGGCTGGTCTTGAACTCCTGACCTCAAGTGATACACCTGCCCTGGCCTCTCAAAGTGCTGGGATTTTAGGAGTGAGCCCCTGGCCTTAAATACGACATATTAAAATTAATTTCACCTGTTTCATTTTACTTTTTTTTTTTTTTTTGAGAAAAAGTCTCGCTCTATTGCCCAGGCTGAAGTGCAGTGGCAAGATCTCAGCTCACTGCAACCTCTGCTTCAAGCGATTCTCCCACCTCAGCCTCCCAAGTAGCTGGGATGACAGGCACGTGCCACCATGCCTAATTTTTGCATTTTTTGTAGAGACAGGGTTTCACCATGTTGGCCAGGCTGATTTCAAACTCCTGACCTCAGGTGATCCACCTGCCTTGGTCTCCCAAAGTGCTTGGGATTACAGGCATGAGCCACTGTGCCTGGCCTGTTTTACTTTTTTTAAATGTGGCTATTAGACAATTTAAAATATGTCATTCACATTATATTTCTATTGGACAATGCTGATCCAGGTAATTTTAATATCAGTATGGTTGGGTTTAAATCTACCATCTTGTTCTTTTTTCCTATTTGTTCTATGTGTTCTTTTTATCTTTTTTCTTCTTTTCCAACTTTTTTGGAATTTTAAAACTTCATTTTATCTCCATTATTGGCTTAGTAAATACATCTTGCTTTTAATTTTTTTTTAAATGGTTACTCTAGGATTTACTATGCCTTTAACTTATTACAGTCTACCTTCATATAACATTATACCACTTTATGTGAAGTGTAAGGATCTTCCAACAGTGTATCTGTCCATTTTGTCTCCTTCCTTGTGCTGTGATTATCAAATATTTTACTTCTATGTTACAAATCCCACAGTATGTAGTTTTAGTTCTGCCTTAATCACCTGTCTTTTAGAGGTATGAAAAAACGAGAGCAATTCCACTCCTCTTCATTCCTTTGTGTAGACTGACATTTCCATTTGATATTTTTCTTCTGCCTAAAGAACATGTAACATTTCTTTTGGTGTAGGTCTGCTGGTGATGAATTCTATCAGCATTCGTTTGTCTGGAAAAGTACAGCCTGACTTTTTGAAAGATATATTTGCTGGATATAGAATTTCTACTGACAAATGTTTCTTCTGCAGTACTTTAAAGATATAGCCACACTGTCTTCTGGCCTACATGGTTTTTGACAGTTATTCCTCTCTTTGTTCTTCTGTACTTAATGTGCCTTTTCCCCTCTGGTTGTACTCAATATTTTTATCACCAGTTTTCAGCAACTTGACTACATTTTAGCATGGTGTTTGTTCTACTTGGGGTATGGAAAATATCTCAAACTTGTCAGTTCAAAGACTTCAAATTTGGAAAATCTTCCACCACTGTTTCTTCAAATACTTCTTCTAACACCACCCATGCCCCCACCTTTCCTTCTGGGTCTCCAATTACATGTTTAAGCTGTCTGATATTTTCCCATAGCTCACTGATGCTCTTGACATCTTTCTTTGGCTTTTTGTGTGCATCTCATTTTGTCAGTTTCTATTGCTATATATTCGAGTTTACAAATTTTTTCTTATGAAGTGTCTAATCTACTATTAATACTACCTTATGTATTTTTATTTCAGATATATTTTTCATCTTTAGATGTTCAATTTGTCTTGTTTAAAAATATCTTCCATTTCTCTCTTCATGATGTTCATTTTATTCTATCTTCTTGAATATGTGGTAGATATTTATGGTAACCTTTTTAATATCCTTGTCTGCTAATTCTATTATTTTGGTTATTTCTGGGTGTTTCTTTTCTCCCTCATCATAAATTGTACTTTCCTTCCTCGTTTATGTCTGATCTTTTTTTTTTTTTTTTTTTTTTTTTTTTTTTTTTGTAAATGGAGTTTTGCTCTGTCGCCCAGGCTGGAGTGCAGTGGCATTATCTCTGCTCACTGCAACCTCTGCCTCCTAGGTTTAAGCAATTCTCTTGCCTCAGCCTCCCAGGTAGCTGGGATTACAGGTATGTGCCACCATGCCCAGCTAATTTTTTGTATTTTTAGTAGAGATGGGGTTTTGCCATGTTGGCCAGACTGGTCTTGAACTCCTGACCTTGTGATCCACCTGCCTCACTTCCCAAAGTGCTGGGATTACAGGTGTGAACCACCACACCCTAAATGTCCAGCCTCATGTCTGGTCGCTTCTAACTGGATGCTGGATGTTGCAAATTTTATGTTGGGCCTTGTTGCTGGGATTTGTTGTACTCTTTAAAATATTGTTTGGCTTTTCTCCAGGATATAGGTTATCTGGATCAGTTTCAAGCTTTTGAGGCTTGTTTTTAGGCTTTGTGATGGTGGGTCCAGAGCAGCCTTTATTCTAGGGTCAGTTTGGCCCCATTTCTGGGGCAATATCCCTCTGAGGATTTTATTCAGTGTCCTGTGAGTTAGGTTTCTCTACTCTAATTGGTTGGAACATAAACTATTGACACCTGTGCTGGTTCTAAGACTGTGCTGATTCCTTCTTTCTGATGGTTCTTTCCCCAGCCTCTGGTAGCTTCTTCTCATATAAGCACAAATTGGTACTCAGCCAAAGACTGGAAGGGAACCCCTCTGCACAGGTTCTATTTACCAGTCCCTCAGCAACACACACACACCCCAGGAAGCTGGGGACATTATAGCATGAATTCCTTTTATTTCCCTTCCCTCAGGGATCACTGCCTGGTACTACCTGTTATCCAATGTCTGAAAATTGTTGTCATGTTTTGTCTAATTTTCTAGTTAAGTTGAAAGGGTAACTCGTGTCTCCTTTATCATGACCAGAAGCAAAAGTCAGTTTTACTTACTTGTATACCTAATTTATATCCATGTATTTCCAAATTTATCTGATGCCTTTTAAAACAATCGTTAGTCCCTCAAAGGACTATTTGGCCATAAAGAGAACCATTTGGTCATAAAGAGAAATGTAAAGCCTAAAGCAGTACTTGTCTCAGGATAGTAAACCTAGAATTTTAAAGTTGGAAGGGATTCCAGAAGTTATCCAATTCAATCTCCAAGAATTAATACATAATCTCTAATATTGACACCCACTTGAAAATATTTCTTTCTGTTTCTTGACTGTTTCAATCTATTTCTACCTTTGTAACTAATTTTTCCTCTCTTTTTTTTTTTTTTTGAGACAGGGTATCGGAGTCTTGTTCTGTCACCCACCCTGGAGTGGAGTGCGGTGGCACAATCATAGCTCACTGCAGCCTCGACGACCTGGGCTGAAGAAGCAATCCTCCCACCTCAGCCTCCCAGTGTTGGGATTATAGGCATGAGCCACTGCTCCTGGCGTAATTTATCCTCTCTCTAACTCTATCCACCCTTCTCTTAATTAGATATTTCTATTAATAACTAATCTCCTGATCCAATATAGAAATTCCTATCTATTGTGTCCTGATTTTTTTTTTTTTTTTTGACATGGATTCTCGCTCTGTCACCCAGGCTAGAGGGCAGTGGTGCTCTCAGCTCACTGCAACCTCCACCTCCGGGGTTTAAGCGATTCTCTTGCCTCAGCTTTCCGAGTAGCTGGGACAGTCGAGTGACACACCTGGCTATTTTTTTGTATTTTTAGTAGAGACAGGGTTTAACCGGGTTAACCAGGATGGTCTTGATTTCCTGACCTTGTGATCTGCCCGCCTCAGCCTCCCAAAGTGCTGGGATTACAGGCGTGAGCCACCATGCCCAGCCTAGTGTCCTGATTTTAACAGTCTTCCTGCCTCCTTTTGTATTCATTTTTTTTTTTCCAATGATGAATATATATATATATATTTAGAATTAGCCAGCTGGACTCAGTTTAGATGATCCCCATTTTGCTGGTAACATCCAAAGCATTGTAATCAGGAGCTAGTCGAACCTATGCCTTCTTCTCTCAATCAGGCCGAATCAGGGTGTTGACCTTGGCCAGCCACATCAATGTCATAGAGCTTCTTCACAGCCCGTCTGATCTGGTGCTTGTTGGCTTTAACATCCACAAGGAATACAAGTGTGTTGTAGTCTTCTATCTTCTTCATGGCAGACTCAGTAGTCAGTGAAAACTTGATATCATAGTGGTTCAAGCTTGTTTCTCCTGGGGGTGTTCTTCTAGGGATATTTGGGCTGCCTCCAGAGTCACAGTGTCTTAGGCCACCAGAAGGTGGGTGATGTGCAGATCTTCTTTCTTTTTGTGGCTGTGGACACCTTTCAACACTGCCTTCTTGGCCTTTAAAGCCTTCGCTTTGGCTTTGGCTTTAGGAAGGGCTGGAGCTTCCTTCTTCACTTTCGGCGCCATCTTGTGAAAAGCCCTTTTGTATTCTTTGTATGGCAGCCAGTTTCCACATTCCATTTTTGAGACGTTTCATTGCATTATATTAATCCTGTCAATCATTAGTCCTTTGAAGCTGTACAGAATTTAACCAAACTCACCTATAGAGAAATCCATTTATGAAAAAAATACTTAAACCCTATTGTGGGAATAGTTACTGTGGTCTACTTTTCTTTCAGGGACAGGGTAGCCTAATGGCTTTCCATACATATCCCAAACATAGGATTTCTGGATTTTATCTTCCTCATAAACTGAATCTGATTCCTTTTACTTTCTGGTTCTTATATTCCCTTGTAACTCTGAAAGCCTACAAAGTATGGTACTTTGTTTATGAAATGGTAAGAATAATGTATCAGTCACCTATTTTGGAGAAAGTTTTAATACAGCTTATAAAACAGGAAACAAAAAGAAGAGAAGTGGTTATTAATGAAAATATCTATTTGAGGGAAGAAGAGAATTGAACAGAGGACAAATTATTTGCAAGAGAAGATTGATAGTTCATAACTGAGAAGCAGAATTAAGTTTTGTGTTTTTTTTTTTTTTTTTTTTTGAGACAGATTCTCACTCTGTCACCAGGCTGGAGTGCAGTGGTGCAATCTCAGCTCACTGCAATCTCCGCCTCTCAGGTTCAAGCAATTCTCCTGCCTCAGCCTCCCGAGTAGCTGGGATTACAGGTGCATGCCACCACACTCTGCTAATTTTTGTATTTTTAGTAGAGATGGGGTTTTACCATGTTGGCCAGGAGGGTCTCAATCTCCTGACCTCAGGATCCACCTGCCTTGAGCTCCCAAAGTGCTGGCATTACAGGCATGAGCCACCGTGCTCGGATAGTTTTGTGTTCTTCTTAAGACACAGGGTCTTGTTCTGTCACCCTGTCTAGAGTGCAGTGGCTCAATCATAGTTCACTATAAACTCAAACTCCTGAATTCAAGCAATCCTCCTGCTTAAACCTCCTGAATAGCTGGGACTACAGGCACCACGGTTGGCTAATTTTTACATTTTTTGTAGAGATGGGGTCTTGCTATGTTGCCCAGGCTGCTCTTGAACTCCTGGCCTCAGGTGATCCACCCACCTTAGCCATCCAAAGTGCTGGGATTTAGGCATAAGTCACTGTGTCTGGCCAAAATTAAGTATTCTTCAATGAGTATCAATACTTAAGGATATCTACTAACACTCCATCAGGATGTTCGTTTCTCAGTAACTTTGAAAGCCTAAAAAGTATGGTACTTTGAAAATGGTGCTTTTTAATATAGCTCCCATCATTATTATGGACATGTGAATTGGCACCCACTTTCAAGGATAACATTATTCTGAACTGAGAAGAAATCCACTCGCTCAACAAAAGTTATGGCTAGGTGTGGTAGGGATAAAGTAGACAAGGAATCTTTCCTTCCTCTCATCTCCTCTAAAATAATGTAATTTCCATTAACTTAGCTTGCTAAAAATCCAGCCTCTGATGGGCCCAGGGAATGGAAAATATGTCCTGATGAATGCTCTCTCTGCAAGGAATCTCACTGAGGTAAATGCCACAGTAAATAGCAAGAACTCAGCTCATATCCTACTCATTGCTGCCCTCTAGGAGGTTTTCCATGATTTACAACACACTAAAGGCTACTCTCCCTTTAGAATAGCTGACCTCTCCCCAGCAGCAGTGGCAGGAAATAAATGGCAAAGGCCCACAGATCAAAAATAACTTATCAGTGGATACTCATTAACTATCCTTGATTTTCATTTCCTCCTTTGATTTGGTGAGCTCTTTTCTTCTATTATTTGATCGAGTATTGTAATATTTGAGCCAAAAGAAGCAAAAATGGTTTCTTCTAAAGAAAGACAGTAACAAATTATGCCTTCCTTATTATTCAGGGAGTGAGTGCTTCTGAAAATTTTATCTTATAAACTAACTAGTGGCAAAAAGAACGGGGCTGGCTCCAGAGAAAGCCAGCATCCTGTGCATGATACGTCGCTCCTAAGTTCTATATATTTGTTCCTAAGACCAGGATCCAATTTAGGATTCTGAGGTAGTAAGATTATAGTAGTAAGACCCAATGCTGGGGTCTTAATCTTGGCTCTGCTTTTACTAGCTGTATAACCTTGCAAGTTTTAAAATCTTTCTATCCCTTGTTTCTTTATCTGTAGAATGGAGATGATAAAACTATCATATTTACCTCCAAAGATATGATGACTATTACATGAATAAAATACATAAAACATGAATCGCACCTAACGAGGTAAATTCTCAATAGTTATTAGCAAATATTATTTGGAAGATCCTGATCATATAAAAACAGGATATGTGTATCTAGAATATTTATTGATTACTACACTGAGAAATTTAAAATCCTCCGCAGCTGTGAAGCTTGAGTATACTCAAATTAGGCAGGGATGCTCACAGAAGGGAAGTACTTAGGGAAAGATACTCAACCCAGTTTTCTTTTGATGTAAAAATTTCCTTCTAAAACAGGTACCTACAGGTTTAGGAATAGGATAGATCAGTTTAAAAATTGTCATGTAATTAATATATTTAAAATAAATTGGAGTTGCAAGGTGAAGACCATAACTTCTCCCCCAGTACCTCACATATTTAATCACTTTTTCAATGTCCATTTTAAAAATACCGTATATAACATAAATGCAGGGTATTTTGGAAAGCTTATCATTCATAATGTAGGTGATCTAAAATAAGTAGAACTTAGGTAGAAAGGGAAGTAGAACTGGATTCTTATAAAGAAATCTCAATGTATTCCTTCATGCTGTAACATGGTCAGTTAATACTTATTTGCTCAGAAAAGATGAACTGCAGAATAGAAGCCTTAAAGAGACTGAGAATACCACTGAGTGAATGTCTTCTTCAGTGTTCAAATATTCAATACAAGAAAAGGTAAATTCAGTGGTTCTCAGACTTTATTTTAAAACACACCTGAAATGTCTGTTAATAATGCCTGTCTCCACCACACTCCCTCACACTTAAGACAACGAAGAGGCCTATGAGAGAGGATTCCAATGCAGTTCATCCATGAACCACATTTTGAGAAATAGTGAGATAATGCCTTAATTTAACTGCCACTTAATGTTTACTATTTGTATGTGAAAACAGGTGCAAGTTTACCTCATCATTGAGCCAATTCAGATGGTTTAGAGTTTGAATATCTTTACGTGTAATTGTCAAGCGAAATGCTTCACTGAGAACTTCATCCTGATTCCCATTACGAAATACATTCTTTATTTCTTTCTCCATTTCCTAGGAAAACAAAAGGTGTCAAGACATCAAACACACGTGGCTTCAGACAAACCAGATTTCTCACCAAGCCCCAAATAATCCTCAGACTATATTTATCACTATTCAGTTGTTTATAAATTTACTGTTAATCAATTTTCTCCTGAAGTTTTAGTTTCTACTTCTTCCCAGTAATCTCCAATTACTTCTTTGCACTTCATCTAGTCCTCCCTTCTCTTTTTCAGCACAACATTCAGACCCTTGTTTCCATATTAACTCCTAAAGTCTGAAATAACCTTCTGCTATCAAATTGGGCCCATGAGAAAAATTAACTGTATTTTATATCTCTGGTCCAAATGACTTCCTAAGAAATAGAATTTTTCATAAAAGGCAGTAGGAGAGTAAAGGCAGTGCCTTTTAGAAACTTTCTTAGAGATCTTTTTATTTTAAATGTAAAATATGGAATTCAGCACAACTATAATAAATGTGTTATGCTCACCAGCTACATGGTAGTTTTTCAAAGAGAAGCATGGATAAAGAAACAGATTATTGGCCGGGCGCGGTGGCTCAAGCCTGTAATCCCAGCACTTTGGGAGGCCGAGGCGGGTGGATCACGAGGTCAAGAGATCGAGACCATCCTGGTCAACATGGTGAAACCCTGTCTCTGCTAAAAATACAAAACATTAGCTGGGCATGGTGGCGCATGCCTGTAATCCCAGCTACTAAGGAGGCTGAGGCAGGAGAATTGCCTGAACCCAGGAGGCGGAGGTTGCGGTGAGCCGAGATCACGCCATTGCACTCCAGCCTGGGTAACAAGCGTGAAACTCCGTCTCAAAAAAAAAAAGAAACAGATTACTTAAAAATGTACACAGACCTCTATATTTTCCAAATTTTCTGTAATGGGTTTTATTACTTAAAAAATAATAGCAAGTCTCAGCTTACAATTTGAGGTCAAACTATTGTATGGGTGCATTAAGTAAAAATGCACATGAAATGAAAAACAAATGTATTAAATGCTTGTTCACTGAAGTTGTTAAAAGCCACCCCACAGTTCATTTATCTATTTTTAATATTTAAAAAATAAAGCCCAGATTAGTATGTAAAATAAATGAAAGCAGAAATTTACAAGAAAATTTAAATACCATGTGTTCTATTGCCTTTTTTTTTTTTTTTTTTGAGACATAGTCTCGGGTTCAAGCAATTCTCCTGCCTCAGCCTTCCAAGTAGCTGAGATTACAGGCGCACGCCACCACGCCCAGCTAATTTTTGTATTTTTGGTAGAGATGGGGTTTCACCATGTTAGCCAGGCTTGTCTCCAACTCCTGACCTCAAGTGATCCACCTGCTTCAACCTCCCAAAGTGCTGGGATTACAACCTCCCAAAGTGTGAGCCAGAGCACCCAGCCACTATTGCTTTTATGTTTGAAATTCATCCAAAGAATTCTTTCTAAACATAATACTTGGTAGTGTAGAAATTAAGTGTATGTAATTTACCTCTGTAATTTCAGGAAATTCATCTTCACTATCAGTTAATTTATGACCTTTTTTTTGTGTTTCTTGGGCAACAGTGACAGGAATCTCCTTTTCAAGAGGTACACGAAGATGCAGTTCTACTGAATCATGTACTGAATGTTCCCGCTCCTGCAGTCTCTGAAAGATAAAACTTCAGAATAAGTGGGATAAAGAAATCTGCAGATGTTCCTTGACTTATGATAAAGTTATGTCCCAATAAACCCGTCATAAGTCAAGGAGTCTGCTGAAATACATGCTGCTTTCACTTTTTTGTAAAGTCAAAAAATCATTAGTAAAACCATCACAAGTAGCAGACTATCTTATGTATAATCAGTAGCACTGACTGTACAAACCAAGAACATTTACCACATATCATAACATGCTATGCTACCATAAAATCTTGGAAGTACAACAGCAATTACCCAAATCTGGGTAACTTTCCAAAATAGTTTCTACTTGGATGTACTATTTATTTATAATATTATTCCGATTTTCTTCTTTACCTGGTTTTGAAGCTGTAAGGCCAATGCTTTCTGTTCTTTAATCTGGCGCAATCTTTCTCGTGCTCGAGAATCATAAACACTAGTTCTAGAAAATGAAAAAGAATGTGACCAAATGTAAACCACTATCATACTATCAAACATATTGTTGATGTACACTAAGTACATCAGTAAATACAGGACTCTCACAAAGAAAATCTAAAATCTTTACACTAACTTACCAACTTATCATCCTTATTTTAAAACACAGAGTGAAACCACATAATGTTACTGAAATTACCCTACTATTTTTACTGAAATTATTATTATTATTTTTTATAGAGATAGGGTCTCACAATGTTGCCCAGGCTGGTCTCAAAGCCCTGGGCTCA